CAAATTAATCTCCGAATGGATAGAAACAAACGACCTAGTACTCCTTAATAGCAACCAACCCACGAGGTACGATCAGATAAACCAAAAAATGTCGGCTATCGACCTAACCATATGCACCGCAGATCTAGCCCAAAGTACTCAATGGGAAGTGCACGACGTCCCGCTAGGTAGTGACCACTTCCCCATAAACATAACTATAGGAAATACAAACGTACCAATCCAAACAGAAAACCAAGAACCAAAATTCCATTATAATAAAGCTAACTGGGACCAATTCCAAGATATCTGCAACGAAGCTAACTTAAACGAAATAGAAAATAATGATCCAGAAACCTATTGTAAAAACCTAACAGACTATATAATAAACGCAGCCAAAACCTCCATCCCCTTCAAAACATCTAAGACAGGCAAACCGACGGTACCATGGTGGAATGAGGAAATAGAACAGACTAGACGAAAACGTAAATCAGCCTTCAATAAAGCAAAACGCGACTACAAATATTTAAACATAGCCCACGAACTAAACCACCAGGTTCAAAAACTAGTCCAAATAGCCAAAAGTAGAGACTGGAAAAAATTCTGCGAAGGTATAAATAACCGTACAGATGCCAGAATGGTCTGGCGCAAAATCCACGCCATTAGAGGCTTAAAACGACATAAGAAAACCCCTAACATTGACAACTCAACCAACCCCGCCCAAAAAGCAAATAATCTCGCCAACCACTTTTCGGCCGTTAGCAGTAACACCAACTTCAGTAAAAAATTCCAAGATAAACTTAAAACAGAAAACAAACCCACAAAAGAACCAAACAATAACAATCTAGAAATAAATCAACCCTACACAATGGAGGAGCTCCTCTACGTAATCCAAAACAGGAAAAAGGGCACAGCCCCAGGATTAGACCTAACTTCTTACCAAATAATTAAAAAACTCCCCCTAAAACTACTCCAGGCACTACTCAAACTATACAATCTCATCTACCTAAACGGACAGGTTCCTACTCCCTGGAAACAGGCCCTAGTCATACCAATCCCTAAACCTAATAAACCAGCTAATCAAGCTAACTCATATAGACCAATATCCCTAACTTCAAACTTATGTAAAGTAATGGAATCAATGGCTAAAAATAGATTACAACATTACTTAACCCAAAATAACATCATAAACCCAGATCAAAGCGGTTTCACTCCTGGCCGCTCAACCCTAGATAACCTCGCCCGACTAGAACAAGATATTAAGACAGGTCAACTAAATAAACAATATACCACAGGCATCTTCTTAGACTTCTCTAAAGCTTTCGACATGGTATGGCACGATGGGCTAATACAAAAACTTAAAAAAATAGGACTCAAAGGTCAGATAATAAACTACATCCAGGACTTCCTAAACAATCGTAAAATAACCGTGGGTATAGACCAAACTCTATCGGACCAATGTCCCCTAGAAAATGGTACTCCACAGGGCAGTATCCTCAGCCCCACCCTCTTCAATATAATGATAAACGATCTATTCGAGGGCCTATCCCCTAAAGTAAACACATCAAAATTCGCGGATGATGGAGCCATCTGGATCCGCACTAAAAGCATGAACATGGTCCAAAATTTACTCCAAAAATCTCTTAATAAAATACAACAATGGGCTGACAAATGGGGCTTCTCCCTTAACTCAGAAAAAACAACAGGAATAGTATTCAAACATAAAAACATGAAACCCGCCTCCCCAAGCCTCCAGCTAAACAACCAAACAATCAAATTTCAAAAACAAACCAAATTCTTAGGACTTATTTTCGATGAACATCTCACCTGGGATGCTCACATCCAAAACCTAACAACTAAATGCAGTAAAGACCTAAACACCCTAAGATGCCTAACTGGCTCTAACTGGGGAGCATCCAAAGATACCCTCCTCTCTCTCTACATATCACTAATTAGATCAAAACTAGACTACGGCTGCGCCATATACAACACCCTAAACAACTCTCTATCTAAAAAACTTGACTCAATACAATATCAGGCTCTCAAACTAATTACACGCACCCAACATGGCACCTCCTACACCTCACTTCAGGCCTTAACAGGAGAAATGCCACTAAATCTACGCAGGGAACAGCTAAGCTTAAATTTCTGGGCCGCGTCCCAATCAAACCCTCTCATCCAAAACTTAATAAACCAAAACATCAGCCCCAAAAACCAAGCTCTAGCTCGTAAACACCCCTTACTTACCCCAATATCCCAAAGAATAACAAACTACCTAAATGAACACCAAATTAAAAATCTTAAACAAAACTGCAAACAATCAAATATCTTCACCCCTAAACTTAACATACCCAAAATAGACACAACACTAGCTAGCCAAATAAATAAACAAACCGACCCAAACATAGCTAAAACTACCACACTAGCATACATACACGAAAATTGGCCAAATTGGTGTCACATTTACACGGACGGATCCTCAGATCCGACCTCCAAACACACAGGTTTCGGAGTCCATACCACACAACCAACTAAAACCACACAATCTTTCCGACTCCCAAACAACCAATCAATATTCACGGCAGAACTAATGGGCATGGCCTCAGCCCTCCATAATCAAGAATCCAAAAACCACAAAAAAATCCTAATACTTACCGACTCCCTAAGTGGACTGCAAGCCCTCCAAAACAAAAATACCAAAAACCGACCTAAATTAATAAATCAAATACTTAAAAGCTCCAACGACCTAACTAAGGCAGGCAAACAAATAACCTTCTTGTGGATACCCGCCCACGTAGGAATATACGGTAATGAAAACGCAGATAAAGCAGCTAAACTATCCCTCAAAATCCCAGAAATAAGCTTAAACTTACCCATCTCAAAATCAGAAATTAAAAGTGTAAACAAGCAAAAAATCACAAAAAAATGGCATAACCTATATCTAAACTCAAATAGCCAAATCAAAAAAGTGCTCAGCAAACCACTAACCAAACCAAAAATTCTCCATCCATCCAAAAAAATCGACAGAGTAATCACTAAACTCCAAACAGGACACACCAACCTAAATAACCACCTAAAAAAATTTAAAAAACACACTACAGGTAACTGCCCACACTGCAAACAACCAGAAACCCCAGAACACGCACTCATCCACTGCACACACTACCTAACACATCGAACCGCATTACAAACCACCCTCAATCTAAACAAGGCTCTAACTCTAGAAGCAATACTAAACCCACAAAATAAACTAGAAAACTTCAAGGCCTTAGGCGTATTCTTAATAAAAACGGAACTAATAAAACGCATCTAAAAACACAATAACCTACCAAATCAAAATCACATAAACAAACAAACATCCACCATACCCAGCTCCCTTAGTTCTCCTCCCCAATCCCATCGGCATCTATTCCAAATCTCAAAATTCCCAAATTCTATATAAGCAACCCCTAAAACCCCCCTCTTGGGTTGCACAGACCACCTTCGCCCCTTTCGGAAACACATTAAATGGCCTGGCCGGGCCCGTGTGCGAAATACGCATCAGTCGGAAAGCGCACGTTAAATCTCCAAAGTAAGTAAGTAAGTAAGTAAGTCTAGTTTGTTGACAGAGGTCAGATGTTCCTCGAGTCAGGAGTCTGAGGGTTTTTCCAATGTACTGGTGGCCACAGTTGCAGGGGATCTGGTATACACATCCTCGGGGGTTGAGACTTGCGCTGCTTGTGCCTCTGCCATTGGGTTGTAGGTGACATCTTTGTTGGCTTTGTTCTTGATGAGGCGGGAAATCTGATGAGTGACAGGGCCTTGGTAGAGTATGGTGATTCTGATGGGCGACGGGGCAGGTTTGGGTCTGGGATTAGGGTTCTTGAGGGTCTTGCGGAAGGTGTTGGAGACAAGGTGGGCAGGGTAACAGCCGAGGAACGTGAAGGTTTTATTGAGAAGTTCACTGTTGAGGACATCAGTGTGGAAAAAGGATTTAGCACGTCGGGTGAGGGTGGCGATGATGGCTTGTTTTATTTGGGTGTGTGGTGTGTGGTGTGTGGTGTGTGTGGTGGTGGGGTGTGTGTGTGTGTGTGTGTGTGTGTGTGTGTGTGTGTGTGTGTGTGTGTGTGTGTGTGTTAGTGTGTTAGTGTGTGTGTGTGGTGGTGGTGGTGTGTGTGTGTGTGTGTGTGTGTGTGTGTGTGTGTGTGTGTGTGTGTGTGTTTGTGTGTGTGTGTGTGTGTGTGTGTGTGTGTGTGTGTGTGTGTGTGTGTGTGTGTGTGTGTGTGTGTGTGTGTGTGTGTGTGTGTGTGTGTGTGTGTGTGTGTGTGTGTGAGGAGTTGTATTGGATGTACTGGTCTGTGTGTAGGCTTGCGGTACACTGAGGTCCTAAGTCCATCATCTGTGGTCTGGAGGAACACGTCTGGGAATGGAAGGTGTTGATTGGTTTCGGTCTCCATGGTGAGCTGGATTCTCTGGTGCTGGGCGTTGAGATGTTTCAGGAGCTCTGTGGGGTCGTTCTGGTGGGCTGTGGTAGTGAATGTGTCGTCTACTTTCCGATACCAGCAGAGAGGTTGGAATGGTGCTGTGAAGGGGGCTGATTCTTCAAAGGATGTCAGATTTCCCGCCTCATCAAGGACATAGATAACACCTTTTCTTGCAGCAAGTCCATCAAAACCAATCTGCAAGCCAGTGGCAGAGGTACAAGCAGTGTGCGTCCCAACCCCCAAGGATATTAAGTTTCCAACTTTTGTTATCTTATTACTTTTCTTGTTCTTACATATAAAACTATGAACTTATAGCATTCATTCACCTGATGAAGGAGTAAGCATATACTCCGCAAGGTTGTGTCCCTCATAATAAAGAAGTTGCCATCCATAATTTCTCTTCCTTATGTGTATCACTTTTAAATGCCTTTCAAAGACATGTATGAAATTGCTCCGCTTCCCTTTACGATTTTATACAATTTGTGACATTTTGAATGCCAAAACAACAAAACAACAACAACAAAACAATCCTAAAGTACATGCCATATTCCTCCCCCTCAGAAACTAGCTGATGAGTTGAAGGATGAACCTGGCACGGTCAAGGCAGTGCGTTGTGACGTATCCAAGGAAGAAGATGTCCTGGCGATGTTCCAGATGATCAGGGCTGACCCTGACCTTGGCGGGGTGGACGTGTGCATCAACAACGCAGGTCTGGCCCACAACGAACCTCTGTTGACAGGAAGCACTCCCCTGTGGAGAGAAATGGTGGATGTAGGTTTACCCGTGTACAAATTCCTAGGTTCATATGAAGCAAAACAACAACAAAAAACCAGACCTGACTGCTGCAAACCAACAAAGATAATTGGGGCATGTTTTGTGTCCCACGAGATGCCAATGTGACGAATTCTTTGTCCTACCAGTTACTTTGAAGCTGTTCATCGATCAGACAAATATTGAAAATAACATTTGCTCTGGTTTCGTTGGTTCTGACTAAGTAGAAAGTTAGTTCTGTCTATTTAAATGTGATTCGTTCTTGCATCAGTGTTTTTTGAAGCCCCGTATTTTATGGCTGGCAGCCGAATCTTATGCAATGTTTATTTTGTTATCCCCCGCCCAACGCAGTGGGCGGGAATATAGAAACGGGCCCCGTCCGTCCGTCCGTCACGTTTCGTTTCCGGAGCATGAAACATTGCATGTCTGTCAGGTACATGCTGAACTGGTGCCTTTTGCTATTTAGAAATTTTAGAAGTTTTTATTTTTTACGTTTCCATGGCAACAAGAGGTACTTAGTTTCCGTGAGGCTAAGGTTCGTTTCCGTGAGGCTAAGGTTCGTTTCCGGAGCATAACTCATAAACCGTTTAATATTTTTTCATGAAACTTTGCATGTCTGTCAGGTACATGCTGAACTGGTGCCTTTTGCTATTTAGAATATTAAGAATATTTAGAAGTTTTTATTTTTTACGTTTCCATGGCAACAAGAGGTACTTAGGTTCTGTGAGGGTAGGGTTCGTTTCCGGAGCATAACTCATAAACCGTTTATTATTTTTTCATGAAACTTTGCAGGTCTGTCAGGTACATGCTGAACTGGTGCCTTTTGCTATTTAGAAATTTTAGAAGATTTTATTTTTTACGTTTCCATGGCAACAAGATGACTTAGGTTATGTGAGGGTAGGGTTTGTTTCCAGAGCATAACTCATAAACCGTTTGATATTTTTGCATGAAACTTTGCAGGTCTGTCAGGTACATGCTGAGCTGGTGCCTTTTGCTATAAAGAAATTTTAGAATTTTTTATATTTTACGTTTCCATGGCAACAAGATGGACTTAGTTTCCGTGAGTGTAGGGTTCGTTTCCGGAGCATAACTCATAAACCGTTTAATATTTTTGCATGAAACTTTGCATGTCTGTCAGGTACATGCTGAACAGGTGCCTTTTGTTATTTAGAAATTTTAGAAGTTTTTATTTTTTACGGTTCCATGGCAACAAGATGGACTTAGGTTCTGTGAGGGTGGGGTTCGTTTCCGGAGCATAACTCATAAACCGTTTAATATTTTTGCATGAAACTTAGCAGGTCTGTCAGGTACATGCTCAACTGGTGCCTTTTGCTATTTAGAAATTTTAGAAATTTATATTTTTTTTATTTTTCCATGGCAACAAGTTGAACTTTTAGAAATTAACGAATTCTTCTTTTAAATGCCAAAAAAATCCCTGTTTAAGTCATAATAAAGTGTTTTTTTTGTGCCTACATTTTGTGCTTGAGGTATCTCCCATAGAAGGGGAAACTGTGCATGCCTTCTACCAAGTTGTCAGTATGTGCCTCAGTAATGGTTGAGGGTAACTTTCGTTTGATGACTTCATTATCAAATCCATCATCCCTACTTCTGCATTGATTATGACAGAGATGAGTGTGCGATAAGATGGCATACTTCTCTATGAAACTTTTTACAGTTTTCAGCACATGTTGATATGAAGACTTTTGTGCTGTAGAGTTTTAACATTCACATTTATTATATTGTTTTGTTTTATTTTTCACTTTATCATATCACATGGTATGACCATATTGTTAAAAAGCCACAACATCAAATGTGTGTGGCACTCGTGGCAGCCTACTTCCTCGCAGTGAGTGCCAGTAACATGACTTGTAATGTTTTTTCTTTCTCCCACCCTAATGAATTCAGTAGTAAATGTAGTTACTGGTTTTGTCAGTTTGTACTTCCATCATGTTTTTTTGTGGAGAAGGTTTCATTTTTTTCTTGAACTTCAAAGAAATTGTGTTTTGCAGCATTTTATTTTGTTTCTTTAGGATATTTTGCATTACATCAAGTAGATGCTCCCCTGCTGCCTTTTACACCTTACAAAATTTTGAATATTTTCAAATGTATGTGTTTGTATGATCAAAGTTCACTGTTGTTGACATAGTTGCGTCCCCTGGACACGCCAGAAACCTATGATTGTGGGTTCGAATCCCGGTTCGCCCCGATTATGTTTCTAGGTTTGTCAGCACCATACCCGTGCTCGTGGGTTTCACCGAAGTGGTAAAACGTCTGAGACCTGCATCACTTCGGGCTTTCCTCCCACATTAAGCTGACACGCCGCGATATAACTGAAATAATGTTAAAAGCGGCGTTAAACCCAACTCACTCACTCACTGTTGTTGACATAATATACACTTCATTTGCTGGGCAGGAGACTTGGTCACGTAAGTGGCAAACTTTTTTTTTTTTACTATTTCCATGACAACAAGTTCCACCTCGGTTAAAAAAGATTAGGGTTTGTTTAGATTTAATTATGTCATAAATTCTTGGTCTTTTGTTTAACACCGCACTAAGCAATATTCCAAAATGTATAACGTCGGTCTGTAAATAATCGAGTCAGCGGTGCAGTGATGACTTAGTATTACGTCACTGCCACAAACTAATTTTGCCTAACACCTAACCGGACTTTTCTCTGAAATCAGTACCGACTGGCATAAGGCAAGCTTTTCGATGCGCTTTGTGTGTGTGTGTGTGTGTGTATGTGTGTGGGTGTGTGTGTGTGTGTGTGTGTGTGTGTGTGTGTGTGTGTGTGTGTGTGTGTGCGCGTGCGTGCGTGCGTGCGTGCGTGCGTGCGTGCGTGCGTGCGTGCGTGCGTGTGTGCGTGTGTGTGTGTGTTTTTGTTTGGTTAACTCCAATTTCTACCTCAGGTGAATATCCTCGGCGTATGTGTGTGCACCAGGGAGGCCTTTAAGTCCATGCAGGAGAGGAAGGTTGATGATGGGCATATCATCCTTCTCAACAGGTACATCAATTAGAGCATTTAGTGTATTTAGCTCATGGTTAATGGAATCAGTTTCATCTGGTAAATATATGCAACCTTGATCAATTGATTGTTCCTTGTTAAATTCTATTTCGGTGGTGGTATGCAGAGTTGTTTTTGGTTTCTGGATGACTTGAACAAACTTTCAATATTTTAATTCCAAAACTGCCAAACCTTACCAAACTTTGACTTTTTACAACATTTACAAGACAAATATCCTCTTTTGTTATCTAGTAAAATAATACGTCACACACTATCCTAGATGACACAATCAAAATATATTCAATGTTCTACAATGCAATCTACTTTTATAAAGTGTAATCCAATGCTTTCTCATGCAATTCATTGTGCTATAATGCGATTATGCGATGTTCCATAATGCAATCCAATACGTCCATATCTGGACAAATTCATGGAAAGGATGCCATTCGTCACATGGAAATGTGGGAATAAGCGCTCACTCGAGACAGCTGAAATGGGAATTTTCGGTTCAACTGGACAGACCCTCATTAAAAATATTCGTCAAGGCAAGAGAATAACCAGTCTCAATTATCTATTGGACGTAAAAAGGCAAAGTAGCGGCGAATAGTAACGGCCAAAGGAGTCGGCTAGTCAAAAATACGTCGTAGGTAAGAAGTGTGTTTGTCAAATATCGCGCGTTGCTTGTTTGAAACAGTTTGGACACGATTTAAACAGATCTTATTCAAGAGTGATTGAGTGGGAGGAAAGCTCAAAGTGATTCAGGTCTTGTAATCGATTGTAATAATGGGATAATGTACAGCAAAAGGAAAATAGCTATGGTTTCCAGCCTGTAATGATAATAGTTTGTTTGTTTGTTTTGTTGTTGTTAAACGCTGCACTTAGCAATATTCCAGCGGTCTATAAATAATCGAGTCTGGACCAGACAGTCCAGTGATGGACATCATGAGCATCGATCCACGCAATTGGGATACGATGACATGCATCAACCAAGTCAGCGAGTCTGACCACCCGATCCCGTGGGTCGCCTCTAAAGACAAGCATAGTTGCCTTATACAGCAAGCATGGGTTGCTGGAGACCTGTTTTACCCCCTGTATTGCTTAAGTAGATTAACAAGATATCAAGAAACGTCCACCAAGTTGCCACTATGTCTTGGTGACATCTTACGCCATGTGTTCTCGTGTTTCTAGCCTGCCCGGACACAGAGTGATACGACCATGTGTTGTTGACATCTCACGCCATGTGTCCTCGTGTTTCTAGCCTGCCCGGACACAGAGTGATACGACCATGTGTTGTTGACATCTCACGCCATGTGTCCTCGTGTTTCTAGCCTGCCCGGACACAGAGTGATACGACCATGTGTTGTTGACATCTCACGCCATGTGTCCTCGTGTTTCTAGCCTGCCCGGACACAGAGTGATACGACCATGTGTTGTTGACATCTCACGCCATGTGTCCTCGTGTTTCTAGCCTGCCCGGACACAGAGTGATACGACCATGTGTTGTTGACATCTCATGCCATGTGTCCTCGTGTTTCTAGCCTGCCCGGACACAGAGTGATACGACCACGTGATTGTGATATCATCTGCCATGTGTCCTCGTGTTTCTTGCCTGCCCGGACACAGAGTGATACGACCATGTGTTGTTGACATCTCATGCCATGTGTCCTCGTGTTTCTAGCCTGCCCGGACACAGAGTGATACGACCATGTGTTGTTGACATCTCATGCCATGTGTTCTCGTGTTTCTAGCCTGCCCGGACACAGAGTGATACGACCATGTGTTGTTGACATCTCACGCGATGTGTCCTCGTGTTTCTAGCCTGCCCGGACACAGAGTGATACGACCATGTGTTGTTGACATCTCATGCCATGTGTTCTCCCGTGATTGTGATATCTCAAGCCCTGTGTAGCCAAGCCTCTCACAGCGATTTCACGTTCGCGGAACTCTCTTAACTATCGTGGCTACAGCCATGCTTGGAGTTGAACTCCCAGCCGACTGACCGTTGTGTCTAAAAATAATTGATGACCGCCGTGACGCCGAAAACCCTACCCCTGCTAAATTATTTTCTTTTTTTTTGTCAATTTGAATTCTGTTTCGTTACAACTATCATGTAATTGTTATAGTAAGAATGTAAGGCGGTAGTTCATTCCAAAATTTGGTCAGTCGTGAACCTTTTCACAATTCACTTTGATGACATTCCCAAAGACATAAACAAAAGTATAAACGTTACTACATTTAGGGCTAGAGAGCAAATTTCAAGATTCGTGTAATTGCCGCGCCCACACTGGCGGTAGCGATGTTACCATGAGTGTAAGGAAGGTGTCACGCGCTGGGAAGGAGCTTGGGTTCTAGCCTGTGATACACAGTGATATGACCACGTGTTCGTGACATCTCCTGCCATGTGTCCTCGTTGTTCTAGTCTGGCCGGACACACAGTGATATGACCACGTGTTTGTGATATCTCCTGCCATGTGTTCTCGTTGTTTTAGTCTGTCCGGACACACAGTGTTATGACCTCGTGTTTGTGATATCTCATGCCATGTGTCCTCGTTGTTCTAGTCTGTCCGGACACAGAGTGATACGACCACGTGTTTGTGATATCCCCTGCCATGTGTCCTCGTGGTTCTAGTCTGGTCGGACACACAGTGATACGACCACGTGATTGTGATATCTCCTGCCATGTGTCCTCGTTGTTCTAGTCTGTCCGGACACACAGTGATACGACCACGTGTTTGTGATATCTCCTGCCATGTGTCCTCGTTGTTCTAGTCTGTCCGGACACAGAGTGATGCCGCTGCGTGCAATGCATTTCTATTCCGCTACAAAGTTTGCTGTCACTGGGTTGTGTGAAGGACTCCGAAAAGAGCTCAGAGAGATGAAAAGCGGGATCCGTGTTACGGTAACATCTTACACCTTAACTCTTCATCTTTAGCACAATAGTACTTTCACTGTGTTGACAGGGGCGAGATTGTTCATCCCCTTGTGCCAGACGGAGGATTAATTAATGGTATATATACGTGTTTTGCAGAGTCAATACATAGTTACTATACTAAGGGGCATTACTCCAGACCAATGCTTTGTTATTTAAGAATATAATATTAAGTTTTTATCCCGACGTGTTTGCTTGAAACTCAACGTTCTGTGTAAAGTTTGCTTAACACGAAGACCAAGCTTCCACTGAACAGAGATAGAGTGGAAACGATTTCTAAATTCTGTTGTAGGTACAACCTGGTTCACTTGCTCATAATTCTTGTGTTCCAGTCGATCTGTCCTCGTTTGGTGCAGACAGAGTTCTTCACTCGAATGTACAAGGATAACGAAAAGTCCAACGCCGGTTTTAGTGAGTCTCTGGTAAGTGTTGGATGGTTAAGATTTGTTCTTGCCCACTAGGACAGCTTGGTGTCATATCTTATGTGTAAATATAGTTCGATGTAATCAGGCCTTTTGCTAAATATAATACCGTGGCCTTTTTTCTGTGCCCACACATGAGTGAACTTTGTATTGTCGACAACTTCAAAAGCTAAGTGGTCCTTCAGTTATGCAGAACATTAATGACATTTGGCTAATGGTTTGTGCATTGTGGTCTCAAAACTGAATAGCGCTTTACTATATTTGCATAAACATTAGGACACATTCACAATTATGTGAATATTGCCAAAATATTATGGCAGTGTGTCCTCCGTTTCTACAGAAGTTCTGACATGAATATGACATGTGGCGAGTATGGGGTAGTAAATTGCCTACACCACCGTTGTCTTTAGCGTTGTGGAGCAGCTGAATTTCAGCCTTTTGCCTTTTGCTTTGCCAGCTGTCTTTAGAAAGTAAACTCGTTTTGAAAACTAAGAGCTTTATATGGATGGCTATTTCACGACATGACTCATTTGTCATATTTTGAATTTCATTTTGATTTCAACATAACCAAACTTCATGCACAAGTTGCCCATTTACCAAACATCATTGAAAGGAGTACGTGGGTATTAGTTCATTCATGTATCTTTCTCCTCCCATATAAAATATGCCAAAAAGAACAGTCATAGAGAAATAGTTTCATGGTGAAGCTTCTGTGTGTATAGTCACCTTTATCTCTCCAGCAGCCTCTCCAGACGGAAGACGTCGTCAGCACAATTGTATTTGCCCTGCAGTCGCCAGAACACATGGAGGTGAGTCACATGCTTCCTCTGACAAAGGTGACTATGCTTGTCGTAAGAGGCGACTAACAGGATCGGGTGGTCAGCCTCGCTGACTTGGTTAATGCATGTCATAGTATCCCCAATTGCGTGGATCGATGCAATGATGTCAGTCACTGGATTGTCTGGTCCAGACTCGATATTTTACAGATCGCCGTTATATAGTTGGAATATTAACAACAAAAACAATACAATACAATACAACAATCCTCTGCCAAAAATCGGCCTGTGACAAACAGTTAAAATATTAATTATGAATTTATTTCCAGATTATAGACCTTCTGGTGAAACCTACTTCTGAAGCCATTTAGCTGGACGAAGAATATAAAGTACAAGATATCAGAGAACGACCAACGACTTCTTGAAGCAAATATTTTAATTTTGACAGAACAATCTATTTCAAATGAGTTATAGTATTACAGAAACATATGTTAGCTGGTTTACACACCTAGTGTGTTGGTACTGTTTTGTTTTGTTTGTTTGTTTGTTGTTTAACTCCGCACTCAGCAATATTCCAGCTATATGACGGCGGTCTGTAAATTATCGAGTCTGGACCAGACAATTCAGTGATTGACATCTTGAGCATCGATCCACGTGATTGGGATGCGATCGATCTACGCAACTGAGATACGATGATATGCATCAAGCAAGTCAGAGTGCCTGATCACCCGACCCCGTTAGTCGCCATTTGACACCAGGAAAGAAGGATGATGCGGAGGAGGAGAAAGGATAACAATATCTAATCTAAGTTAATACTTGATCATTTTGATCATTTTTCGTTCATCTCAACACTGTCTGAGGTATATATATTTTTCTATGTTGTAATAATTCTTTTTGAGATATAATAATACCTGGCTCAAGTCAGGAATGCTATTTCTATAACGGCAAGTGTTTCTATATGTTTTCAAAATAATACAATTGTGGATTTTCGAGAATGCCAAGGTTGGGGTCTCCAAGTATTATTTGATACTTTATCGAGATCCAGGGTCTTAGTAGTTCTGTCTTCATAAATAAATGTTTTAATTAGGTTTCTAGTCTAAAATTCTATGGATAAGTTTATACTAAAGGTGTCTTGTTTTATTCTCCACGTTGGATTGCTGAATCATATCAAAGCAATTTGACAGATAGTCTTCTGGTGGTGTCACACTTAGCTTTGACTCCCACTTTGCACAAAGGATATCAGGTGACTTGGCTTGTACTTGACTTAATAATGTATATATGAATTTACAGCCGTTAGAGTGAGTGAGAGGGAGTATAGTTTAACACCGCTTTTAGCAATATTCCAGCAATATCACTCAGCAATATTCCAAATATATGACGGCGGTCCGTATATAATCGAGTCTGGACCAGACAAACCAGTGATTGACATCATGAGCATCTTCAGTTGACGTCATACTACATCAAATATGAAGGATAAATACAGGCCGAATGAATTTTGTACATTTTCTGTGTTTTTGTATAACAATTATAGTGCATTTGCATGACGTCACCATGAGGGGCGCAGCTTCGAGTTGTCTATTCTCCCTATCGTGTTTTATTGTACAATAAACAAAGACAACGAGTCGTTATTTTATTTTATGAGATATCAACATTCTGTACAGCCTCATTATGAATGTTAATAAACTGCACAAGCCCGTATTTCAATAATGATGACTCCCTGGACGCAATCCGACCTCGGCAATGTCGACAAATCCATCATATGAACAAAGTGGTTAAGTTGGTATTTCCCAGATATTCTTACAATTTTCACGTCGATTATCTGCACCTTTTTTCAGACCGATTGTCATAGCTCTCCGAGTTTTGGGTGCGATCGTTCGGCCATTGCGTTTATCTGCCTTGCCAAGCTGCAACTATGGGGAAGAACTCATCAGACGTCATCGAGTTGCGAGCGCATATTCCAGAATCCCCGCAAATGACGTCATGATAGAGAATGGACTTATCGTGAAATAAACCACGCTTCGTTCTTCATTGTTCTTAGCTACTTCCTGTGAGGCTATCTTCTACATATAAGACAATAATGCAATTGAATACGCCCCCTGCCGCAGCAGCATCATCATGTTATAATTTCCTTACTTGATGACACAAGTCTGCCGTAGAGATGAACTCGTAAAAAAAGGTTTGATTCGACGCTTTAAGGTTTCGTTAACATAAATGTTTGGAACGTACAGTTTTAGTACAGTTGAATGGAGTTTATAATTACACGCTAACAAACTGCCAAACGAAGAATCAGTCAGGTGAGCTCCTGAAATGTAGAATTGTTTCAGAACCAGGTGTGTTGTGAGATTGTGTTTCACATCTGCTACCTGTAGGATAGGGAAAATTCGCGAGTGGTGACATCACTTGTTACTTGTTTTGTGTAAGTTCTTGAATGTGACGCTTCCTTTGTATAGATTTTGTTCCTTTTCTCATGAGTGAGTTTTGTTAAACGTCATTTGAAAAGTATGTCAGTTATATCGAGGCATGCCAGTTCTAAACAGTGTGTGTGTGTGTGTGAGTATGGGTTTTACGCCGCTTTTAGCAATATTCCAGCAATATCACGGCGGGGGACACCAGAAATGGGCTTCACACATTGTACCCTTGTCGGGAATCGAACCCGGGTTTTAGGCGTGACGAGCGAACGCTTAAACCACTCGGCTACCCGACCGCCCCAGTTCTAAACAGCACACTGCATCCCCCGCTTTAAGACACGCAAAAACTCTACGGCGCACAGAAGTCAGTCGTCAGATGCCGTCCCGTGGGCTACGTCGCCATTCTCCTTGGAGGGCCTGGATCAGTTCTTATCGGTTGACTGGAGGATGTGGTCGCTGTCCGACACGACGATCTATGACATGCCAGAGGTGTTCTATGGGGGACATGTCTGGGGATCGTGCATGCCACGCCAAGACGTTGACGTTGTAGGCTGCAGGGAGGTTCTGTACGATTCTGGCTGTATTGCGTTGCCATGCTGATAAAGAACACCACGTGACAAGTTTCTGACTTACCGTCCGAATCATTAACACACAATTATTGCACGTGTGGTTTCGGCTGCCCAAGCGACACATGTTTTTCACCTTTTCGCATTTTATATAGAATAAAAACATGCCGTGGACGTGTATTACTTACTGCATAGAGCATTGTTGTGTTTGGACGATGTGTTTTGCATGGATTTAGTTTGAACTTGTGTTTTTAAATTATGCAACTTCTTTTTTGAAGTTGTAAAGCTTCTTTTGGCCGTCAGTGTAGTTGGAATCGTACAATCGACTCAGAGGTTTCTTATGAAGATGGAAAGTGTTTTTGCTCTTCTATTTTAGACAACAGCCACTGAGCACAAGTAATTCCCTGAATCTCCGTACACTTTTGGGAACTAATACCGATGTTTAAATATGGAATTGACCAACATACACAAAAAGGTTCCATAACATAGTTCTTGAATGTAATGACTTACCTCCCAGAAAAGCCCCAAAACGACTCCATTCTTGAATAAGTAATAAAATGACAATGAATTTTTATGCTTAAGTTCAAGGCGTAAAGGCAAAACAGTAGTAACAATTATATGAATGGATCACTGAAAAACAGTTATGCGGTGTTTGTTTCCAACGCCGCACAGCAGCACTCCTGCACGTAAACAATCGAGTCTTGACCAGACAATCCAGTGATGGTCCATCCAGTGACACGATAGCACGTTTATTGATTTTGTGCAGACTAGAAACGTCAATTTTGAATAACGTCAAAGATGAATGGAGCTCAGTATGGCATTTGGATTTCAACTTCTCTATTTTTTCATAGCGACGTTTCGGAACCTTTCTAGAAATATTCGCCCTGTAACGAAAACACAAAAGTTAAGTGATGGCGTCTTACCTTATTAAAGGAAGGTAAAAGTTGCAATGTGGAATAAACATGTGTTCGCGAGACTTAAAGGAGTCCAAAACAAAACCTAGTCACCGGAGCCTTTGCTAAATAGGAAATTTTGACACCCACTTTATCAACTACACTGACACACAATGAGACCCGTGAAGATCCGGGGTGAAAGAGGTCTTCAGCAACCCATGCCTGTCTTCACCTGTAAAGATCCGGGGTGAAAGAGGTCTTCAGCAACCCATGCCTGTCTACACCCGTAAAGATCCGGGGTGGAAGAGGTCTTCAGCAACCCATGCCTGTCTACACCCGTAAAGATCCGGGGTGGAAGAGGACTTCAGCAACCCATGCCTGTCTACACCCGTAAAGATCCGGGGTGGAAGAGGTCTTCAGCAACCCATGCTTGCTGTAAAAGGCGAATATGCTTGTCGTAAGAGGTAACTAACGGGATCGGGTGGTCAGGCTCGCTGACTTGGTTGATGTATATCATCGTATCCCAATTGCGTGGATCCATGCCCATTATGTTAATCACTGGATTGTCTGGTCCAGACTGGATTATTTACAGACCGCCGTCATATAGCTGGAATATTGCGGAGTGCGGCGGTAAACGACAAACAAAAAGACACACCATGAAAACACATAATCAACTTTAACTCTAAGGACAGTCAAGAAAACGATTTGAGCAGTAAATATTTGTTCGCATGACAAAGAAAGATGACGGTGTGACAAACAGACATGATCTATGAACAGTTCATTCTTTAATACACAGCACAGCTTAATTTGAAGTTTGTGGCCATTTTGTCAAATATAACAAAACTTCGACAAAGATTTTTCAAATTGTTTCAGGATAGGTATATTGGCACCAGATATTATAACCGATATACCATTATTGTGTTGATGCCTTCGCTCGAAATTTTAATAATAAATGAAATATTGGAATAAAAATGAATGTAACAGCGGTGCATGCAGATGGAACTGCGCAAACAGATGCCTGGAGCATACGGATAAAGCTGAAACTTAGAGGTATTACCAGTAAGCGTCTGACTGCAGTCGTCAGCCATCACACTCAGACATGCAGCGGTGGTCGGGACGTGTAGCTCTAGTGACAGGAGCCTCGGCCGGTATTGGGGCTGGGCTGGTCAAGGCACTGGTCAAACATGGCATGAAGGTGGTGGGGTGTGCCAGAAATGTCGACAAAAGGAGTTGATCCCGCCTGCACTTAGTAATAGTATCAAGTACTGCCAATGCTATGCCACATAATCAATGGCAGTGTCGTCATCTGTAAGGAATTGTAGCGTATTTTGTTTGGTAGTCTTAGGACGGGCTTAGAATGGGTACAAGAATCGAGCCTGGAACAGACACACCGTTGAGTAACAGCGCTACAACGAACCAGGGAAAAGGGTACGATGACACGCAGTCAGCCATTTACAGGGACCGAACCCGTTAAAGTCGAAAAGTATGACAAACTCTTAACAGAGTTTTCACACGACTGATTGGTATTTCGCAAAATGTACGTTGTATAGATAATGTACATATTCAATTATTCACGTCTTTTTATACACGACTTTCCTCCATATATAAATTGTAAAGGCACTTTTCCACATTCCCTCAAACCAATAGTTTTACAAGTTGACCTACAAACCTTTAAACTAGATTTACAAACTTTATTGTGTAGTGTGTGTTGCCTATTTTGCTTGAGATATAATGTAGGAATGAGCTTTGTTCCAGATTAACTTATTTATGGGTGAGGTTCCAGGTATTTACATAAATATACTGTTTCTATAGGTGTATCATCATAAAACAATTTTCATACGACTTTGGGGGACCGCGATTTCTAAACACAATATTCGTAGTTTTATTTCGATTTACTTCCATGATATTGTATATTCCTCTGCAGTTAAGAACAGGTGTCGGACGTTGCTGAGAGACCAGCAGGAAACATGGGCGAACACAGATCATTAATAAAAGATGTTGTAATCAGGACTTCCTCAGACATTCAGCTGACCTGCTGTGTAGCAACACTTGATGTTCAAATTTGGACATAAACCCGGCATGCAGTAATTATTGGCAATAGTTTTATATCAGCGAATGCATAGGTCATCGATAGATCGATGTATTTACAAGCAAGATTTTGTGTGTTAATTTTGAGGTAACTAATGACATTAATTAGATAACTGATTTTAATGGTATTTTGATCAGTTAGAATCAAGCATTCGTCAGTGTCATGTTAGAATAGACGTTTAACTAAACTCATTCCCTTACTACTTTGCATACCATAGGAGAGAGACAGACACACAGACAGAAAGTTCTATTCAGTGTAATGCCTCCGGCTCAAAACACAAATCGCTGTTTATTTTAATATCTGCATGATAGCTATAGACAGTCATTTCTGATAATAACATTGCTTTTACCCTGCATGATAGAAGTAGAATTATTAATCGTAGGATATTTACTAAAATAGTTTACAATGAACTTGTTTCTCAATTCAGAGTAGGAATCATATATATAGGAGATATGGAATTCATCTTCAACAACATAGCCTTTGAGGTTGCATGACATACAATATTTTTCATTATAAAATATATTTTATATCTGTCAATCCCAACACTAAGCTTGAAACTGTGAAATCTAAAACTGGAATAGGATGTTCTCAAATGTTGAGGAAGGTCACGTATGTTTGATACGGTTCAATATTTAGAAGGGATTTAAACTGATTATAGTAAAAACACTGATGATTTGCATGTAAGGGTGCTGACCATGAATGAAAGAGACGATCATGTAATGTTGCTTAAAAAGTGCGGCAAACGCTGCATGGTATCCTATTTACTGTCATTTCCTGGCAAATCCAAATCTATATAGAATATTTGTTATTGGTGTTGCCCCCACCACCAACCCCAAGCAGTGTTTCTGTTAATATAACAACACTGGGAAAACACATTATTGTAATTTTCTCAAAGTGCACTACGTAATTAGAAGTACAGTAAACTACGGTTGTAACGAACTCAAAGGGACCACTAATTCTAATTCGTTATAACCGTAGTTCGTTATAAGCAAATGTACGGAATATATACAGCAAATGGACAGGACCAAAAATAATTCGTTACATTCGTAAGTTCGTTATAAACGTGCTTGATATAAGCGTAGTTTACTGTAATTGGTCCGAGTTGGTAGCGACTCCCCATCCCAAGCCCAGCTGGAGGAATCCATTTGTTGAGAACGATTTTGAACTTTGCATTGTGAACCACCTATTAATCGTATGTTGTATTATGTTGCAATAACTGTATATATCTAACAAGGAATTTATAGGGCATAGCAGCATATACATTTGTTTATTGTGGCATATTCCCGGTATTGTAGTCTGAAAGTAACTGCATTTGTACGTTTTGTAGTAACATTGTAATTTGTAAACTGAAGGTTTTAATATCTCAACGAACACCTGCTGCTTTAACTAAATCTGATTTCTTTTGTGCTGGTTATGTGTTATTTATCACCATGAATGCATCATATTTCCCTGGTTTAGATTAATTTCAATGTCAATTACAAACGAATATACTAATTCATATTGAGATATATTGAGATATTCATATATGTTGGGTATGGTGCCGTCCTAACGAAATTCCAGTTTCCACATGGTAGTCACATGCCCCTCCTAAAAGAGTGAAAATGCCCTGGCTAAATAGCTGTTCTATCAAGTTTACATCAAATCTTTCAAAAGCCACTTACTTTTTCTGTTATCTTAAAGGTTATGGTGAAGATCAATCTAGCATCATTTAATTAATTACAGCGTCTAGACGCCCGAAGGGAAATGGGCACCAGAGCATGGAATGTGATGTCCCTTTAAAGGAGTTCATTGAACCAATTATAAGATGCTTAATATTAAATGGCATTCAGTCCCATCCGTCCTTCGAAAGAGCGTGATTCCAAATAAAGCATATTGGTCTTCATTCTTTACATACTTTACATACTGTATACGAGGTTCCAATCGAGTATATAATTCCGCCACCTCAGACACTAGCTGATGAGTTGAAGGATGAACCTGGCACGGTCAAGGCAGTGCGTTGTGACGTATCCAAGGAAGAAGATGTCCTGGCGATGTTCAAGATGATCAGGGCGGACCCTGACCTTGGTGGGGTGGACGTGTGCATCAACAACGCAGGTCTGACCCACAACGAACCCCTGTTGAGAGGAAGCACTTGCGGATGGAAGGATATGCTAGAGGTAGGGTACAACACACGTCGTACATGAACATCGTGAAGTCCTGTTGACAGGAAGCACTTGGGGATGGAAGGATATGCTAGAGGTAGGGTACAACATACATTGTACATTGACATCGATCGTGAAGTCCTGTTGACAGGAAGCACTTGCGGATGGAAGGATATGCTAGAGGTAGGGTACAACACACGTCGTACATGAACATCGTGAAGTCCTGTTGACAGGAAGCACTTGGGGATGGAAGGATATGCTAGAGGTAGGGTACAACATACATTGTACATTGACATCGATCGTGAAGTCCTGTTGACAGGAAGCACTTGCGGATGGAAGGATATGCTAGAGGTAGGGTACAACACACGTCGTACATGAACATCGTGAAGTCCTGTTGACAGGAAGCACTTGCGGATGGAAGGATATGCTAGAGGTAGGGTACAACACACGTCGTACATGAACATCGTGAAGTCCTGTTGACAGGAAGCACTTGCGGATGGAAGGATATGCTAGAGGTAGGGTACAACACACGTCGTACATGAACATCGTGAAGTCCTGTTGACAGGAAGCACTTGGGGATGGAAGGATATGCTAAAGGTAGTGTACAACACACGTCGTACATGAACATTGATCGTGAAGTCCTGTTGACAGGAAGCACTTGGGAATGGAAGGATATGCTAGAGGTAGTGTACAACACACGTCGTACATGGCGACGCGATTCGCTGTGCACAGTTGCATCCCTTGGCCACGCCAGAAACCTATGATTGTGGGTTCGAATCCCGGTTCTCCCCGATTATGTTCCTAGGTTTGTCAGCACCATACCCGTGCTCGTGGGTTTCACCGAAGTGGTAAACGTCTGAGACCTGCATCAATTCTGGCTTTCCTCCCACATTAAGCTACACGCCACGATATAACTGGAATACTGTTAAAAGTGGCGTTAATCCAAACTCACCCACCTTACATGACATTCTGGTGTCGGGACAGGTCATTGGTCATTCCCATTTTGATTGACATTCATTTAACGCGCTTGCGTGTCTTGAAGTAACATTTCCAAGACATGTTAACGGCAACATGCAATAGTTATTGTAAAACGAGCAAACGTACACATCCCCTTTGCCCGGTGAAAACTGCGGGTCCGAACAGGACCACGGTACATCATGCTTGTCTTAACAGCCGACTGAATCAGGATCGGCGTGACAGTTTCTGTGATTGGATAGATCCTTTGTCCTTGTACCTCTGCGGTAGTCGACATCGGCGGTGGCCAAGCTATCACTGGTTTGCCTGGAATTCTTCACCGTTTGTGTTCTGTGGCATAGCTGTCATATTGCTGACTGGGTGTACATTTACTTTAACAAGTAGGCAAAGAACCACAGCCCTGTGATTTATCTTATGTTTCATGTTTTTATGCTGACAGTGTGCTGGGGAAAAGGGTGGGACCGAGAAAATGTAGTCACTTTTACGGGGCTACGAAATTTGCTGTCTCGGCGATTCAAGAAGGTCTGATGAAAGAGCTGAAAGAAATTAACAGTGGCATCAGAGTGACGGTACGTTCTGTAGTAGTAATACTAACTGGTTCTATTTTAAGTTCATGTGCAGTTCAAATAGCCAACTTTAGGGCAGTAAAGGAGGAAAACTACCTCCATTACGTTACAACACGTCCCGAAACTCTCCGCGCTGTGGCCAGTCCCGGACAAAGGGTTTTACAAAATGCAGCATGCTATTTGCATGATTATATACTAAGGAAGAAATAAGGAAATAAAATGGTTTCGAAAACTCAAATTTTAAACTATGACTATTTTCCTTTCCTCAAAACGTATGTTTTTGTTTTGCAAATACATGAAGGCAAGTCTAACAGTATCATTACACAAAATCCAACTCTGTTTTCAACTTAATTCAACTTACTATGTGACTTAGAGAGTGACTGAGGTAAGGTTTAAGCAAAGAATATGCATCACACATTGTACGAATTTCGGGCTTCGCCCCACGTGACATTAACAATCAGTCAGTTAGTCCATGCCACAATTTGAATTGGACTGATATTGATGTTTTTCTTCATGTATCGATATCTTATGTTCAAGTCTGTGTCCCCCGGAGTAGTGAGGACTGAGATCCTGTATCGGTTGAATGCGGACGGATTAATCCCTGAAGTGGGGTATCAAGGGGTATATAATGTTTGTTTGTTTGTTTGTTGTTTAACGCAGCAATAACGCGGCAATATTCTTGCTATTTGACGACGGTCTGTAAATAATCGCGCCAGGACCAGAAATGCAGTGATTGATATCATGAACATCGATCCACGCAGTTGGGATACAATAACAGGCGTCAACTGAAGCAGCAAGCCTGACCACCCGATCCCGTTACTCGCATGGGTTAGTGAGGTCCTATTCTATCCAAGTTCTTCATAGTATGTAAATGAAATGATCCGTTTGGTATCGGGATGTTGTATCGAAATCAGACATTTCAACAGATATTTTCATTTATAACTATGAGCCTGAATGTTTTTTAAATAAAAGCACATTGCAACAGTGCAATTCTTGTGGCAGGCAATTTCTTTTTCTTCAAAGGTCTGAAGCATAAATTCGTTCGAAGTATTTGGAGATGGACTTGAGAACGAAAGCTATCCTTTCTGATTTCGAGATAAAGTTGATTGTGCGATTCTGCATTGAATGTAAAGACGTTGCGCAGACACACAAACAGCCGTGATAATCATTAACGTGTTCTCTTGGCCAACCTTGAGAATATATTCAGCTCAACAAAGTGCACAGGCTCCTCTCGGTGATCTGTCATCTGTACAAGCTAGAGGTGCTCTTATATGTATGTTCAAGCATGCGGCTGTAAAACTCCATCAACTACGCCTGTCTTCTGGTTTCAGGAACTGGAAGTTGAAGACATCACCGCGATTGTGATCTTTGCCCTCGGGTCTCCGCACCATGTACAGGTTGGCTGCAACTTCGTCATTTAAATTATCACCAACAAGTTGTCTTTGCGTGATGTAGGGACAAGGATGTAGGGGCTTAATGAAGTTTTTTGTCATTCTTTTCAAAGGTGATAGGTATTTGGGTCCGGGTAACACTTGACAATTCATTTTCAAACCCTTATTTTTGAAAGATGAAAATCTTGAAAGCTCTACATCGCTTCCTACTTTTCACTCCCGAAATCGGCTTTGAAAGATAGAAGCTGGAAAGCTCAACACCGCTTCGAACTTCTTACTTCCGTATAAGTATTTGGAAAGATGGTACACTCGGAAAGATCTACATCACATCACGTCTCACTTCCCACTTCGGTAAACATGTTTTAGGAGATAGAAACCGTAAAAGCTCGACTGTTCTGCCATTTTCAACTTTATATTTCTTAGTTTTAAGAACGACGATCTAAGATCTAAGATTACGAAGGCGTTTGTTTCGCTTGTTTACTGTCGTCTGTTTAAAATGAGAATAATGAGGGTTTACGACATACATTCTTGTTTACGACAGGGCAGTTACTCTTAACTTGTTCTGCTGTTGGTACGCACAGTTAGCTAAGCGCCATTACTGCAAGTGCATTTACATATCAAAGCATATATTACTAAGCTTAAGATACCAGGTCGTAATCAAGATTGTATGTCGTTAAATCTCATCTTTCTCATTTCTGATACGCCTTTACGGAAGTGGAAGTGGGAACAACTTTCCAGCTTTCCAAAACAATGTAAAGAAATAATAAGTTGGAAGCGATTTTGAGCTTTCAAGATTTACCTGCCGTTTTGCTTCAACATGTTTTTTAAAAGTATTCTACAAAAGCTGACAGAATGTCTTTTTTTCGCTTGCTTCGGTATCAAAGTGAAATAACATCGACTTATAGAGGGAAACGGGAGGCTTAGTCGTCTAATTCGCTGGTTTGCCTAAGTCTAGTCCGCCTTTAAACGAAACATAGAGAATACATTCGTCTCATTTGACAATTTCAATGTGTTATTTCAGATACATGATGTCGCACTGAAAGGAATCGACAATGAGAATTATTGACCTGTGTTGTCGTCATGAACCGAAACCCCATTTATCCGGTCTGGACAGTTCCCAGTGAATTCGTTCTTATTAATAAAAAACTATCATCGAATCGTTGCTGAAAATAGGTATACCTTGTTTACATGAAGTCGATATTAAATTCGTAAGGGGTGTCTTAGACAAACAACACAAACAAAAATCCCTTCCATGATAAACCTCTTGTGGCGTCATGGTGTTCATGCGGAACCTTCTTTGTGTGCAATAACCTCCTAGCAGGGGCGTCTACAGATGTTTCCTCTGTACCAGATATACACCATTAAAGGCCCCTCTACCCATTGGATATTCCGCCGAATGTCTCTCGTTTGCTATTTAACACAATCTACATACCGTATTCGACGTAATAAGCGCCCAGGGCGCTCTCAAAATTAGAAATAGGGGGTTCTTATAAGAATATTATTTCGGTGAAAAAAAACAGAGTTGAAAGATAAATTTCGTGGTTTATGCTGTCAGCCTGAACTATTTATGTACGACAGATATATTTTTCTAGAATTTAAGGGGGCATATAACACACGAGTGCGTATTGTACGCAAATAATAAAGTCTTGTGAACATTGATCAATCGGAAGAGGTCCTAATTGGGATTGTTCACCAGCCAATATATTAGCAAATACCGCCGTGGGCGCTTGTTAGAGCGTGGCGCTTATTACATCGAATGCGGTAAGACATATTCCACTTAGCTGACGTAAGGAAATGTGCAGAAGGATGGAAAATCAAATGTTACGTATATTTCAGTGTGATCGAACGTGCAACCTTCGCATTTGTGGCCTCATACGTCCGTGTCCTTAGGTTCATGGAACGTGTGTTAAAAACATAAAATTGTTGATGAATGGTGTTTCAGATTTGTCTTTCTGTTTATAGGAGATCAAGCACTATTTTCAGGTTTGGTTAAAAATGAAAACACTCTTGGTCGTCACAAAAAATGCAATGCATGTCCACTGTTCACGACTCAAAAGTGGTACAGCGTCCGCCCGGAGAGCGAAAGGTCCGAGGTTCGATCCCAGGCCGCGTCAACAGACGCCAACAGACGTTTAAAAATGATGCTTTTTTATACCCTGCCTGGCGCTCGACATTAAGGGGCTAAACCAAGGACTGGTCGGCTCGGAGTCAGTATACTGTGTCTGAGAGGGGTCTTTGTGTTAAATTGTGGCATGGTATCTCATTGGGCTAGCGCTATTAAATCTGCAACAGTCCGGACTAGCACAAGCAACCAAACAAACACGTACATATGCACGTCGATATAAAAGTAATAATCTTGGACGCGACGTTCAACCCATTTACACCACGGGAACATATGATAAATTAAATATATACATTGAATAACGACTAAATGTTATCAATTTTGCTTGTTGAAAAAATCAGAAATAGATTGCGGTATAATTAGGAAATTAACATACGGTGTTTTCAATGCAGAGCTAGGTTCGTGTTAGAGTCCCTGGTTTGATTAAACTGTGCTCCCCGTGTGACTATTCGAACACCATGATATTTAGAAATTCGCATTTAAGTGATGAACTAATCAAGGCGTGTATCATGCTAGGTCCATCAATATTCACGTTTATGGCTACATTTATATAAGCCCAGAATAATTGGTGGTATCCATTTATAATATAGAAAGCGAACTTGAAAATTAACCAACTGAATATTGATTAAACTATTTGGTTTTCCTGTTTCAATAACGTATTGAGAGATGGGTTTAACGCCGCTTGAACAGTATTCCAGTTATGTCACGGCGTGTCAGCTTGATGTGGGGGAAAAGCCCGAAGATATGCAGGTCTTAGACGTTTACCAAATTTGGTTAAACCCACGAACACGGGTATGGTGCTGACCAACCTTGATACATAAGCAGGGCAAATCGGGATTCAAACCCACGACCATAGGGTTCAGGCGTGCCCAGGGGACGCGAGTGTGCATAGCGCTTTAGACGACAGGGCCACCCTTGCCCCCAATTATGTACTGATGGCGTAATCTTAAGATGAAATGCTTGACAGCCTTCAACATCACACATTTAGTAAATCACCTGGAGCTTGTTATTTATTTTCCTGCACATTTGTTGTTGTCTTACTTTGAATTGCTATTCAAGGTTAAGTGAGATCATGGGTATTTTCCTAGCTCATGCTCACTTGGCATGATAGTTCCGATACACCAACAAGACGCATTAGATAAAACTTATTAGTGTTTCCAGAAGATTCGTCATGTTCACCATACGAGATTAGTCAGATAACATACATAAAATAAGTAAAATAGGAGTCGGTAGCAGGTTATAGGAAAGGATACACAAACATCTATATTATCTTCGTTCTGCAATCTGTAATTCAAAGATATTTAGATTGCACGCTTTTCTTATCGATTTTTCAAAGGTTTTTTAATTTATCAAGATAAATAACTCATAATTAAAACAGCATTTTAATCGAATATTAAATGAATTAAATAAATACACTATCGATCTATGCAATTAGGATACGACAACATGCATCAGTCGCGCCAGCGAGTCTGACCACCTGATCCCGTTAGTCGCTCCTTACAGGGGTGGGTTGCCATGACCGTTGTGTATGGTGAATGTGGCTGGTAGCCTATGTTCTATCATCTTCTCTTATATTAAGGTTATATACTATTGGTCAAGACTATTGAACATGTCATTCTTGTATTTCGGCTGATGTTATATGGATTATATTTGTTATGATATAATCCCCGTAATGTAGGAAGAATAGATCGTTAGTCGTCTTTAAAACGTATACAATAAACTAAGGTTACAACGACCATAAAGGGAAGACAAAGTTTAGTTCGTTATAATCATATATACATCATATATACAGCAAATGTTGGGACGAAAAATAGGTTCGTTGTATCCGTCGTTTCGTTATAAGCATATTCGTTATAAACGTAGTTTACTGTAGTTCATTGTTCCTCATTCAGGTGTATGACACAAACGAATTAGTTTCTTATTTGACTTTCAAGCGTTTGACAAATTGAATACGTTACAATTGAAAGTGTCCCCATGCCCCCCTTATCTGACGGTACTCAACCCACTCACTCACTCACTCACCTTATCTGACGGTACTCAGCTCACTCACTCCCTCACTCACTCACCTTTTCTGACGGTACTCAACTCACTCACTCACTCACTCACCTTATCTGACGGTACTCAAAGAACGTTTTGTCTCAGTATTGAGTTGAAAGCAGATTTCAGAAGAAGGAAAACCTTGACAGGGTGTGCTATGTCTTCAGACTGTCTAGACTTGGTGTGTTTGGGGGAGAAGTCTCGATGTGACAAACACGTTAGTTTCTACTTCGATTGCCGAGTGTAAACCAATGACACCTTTCAATGGTGAAATGTGTATGTTGGAGGGCGGGAAGCGACGCAATACCTCATTGAGCAGTTTTTGAAAAACCAATAAAGAAATAGTTCGCTGGAAACACTTTAAAACGCAAATAGCAGATAGCAAAACAAATAGCGCCTACCACCTTCCGCATATCAATTTTTTTCTACGTGTTGTTTCTTGCGGAAGTAGTAGTAGTAGTTGTAGTAGTAGTAGTAGTAGTAGTAGTAGTAGTAGTAGTAGTAGTAGTAGGAGTAGAACTAGTAGTACAAATAGCATCAGAAGTTGTAGTAGAAGTAAAAGTATTAGTATCAGTAAAAGTAGTGGTGATGATAGTAGTGGTATAAAAAGCGACTATGCTTGTAAGAGGCGACTAACGGGATCGGGTGGTCAGGCTTAGGGAGGTGAAGTTTTATTGGTTGTGGTAATGGTAGAAGTAGTAGTAGAAGTGGTAGTGGGAGTCTATTCAGAAGTACTCTAGGTCAAAGGCCATGGCTATACATCTGAAAGTACAGGGTATTATCAAGACGGCTGCCTTACTAAACAAAGCTTGATATATGTAGATACAGCTATAGATATTGATATAGATAAACTGATACATATGTTATCATT